CTTACTTCCAATCTTCGTTCGGTTACGTATTGCTGGTCTTATTCGTAATTCGTATGATGATGACAGGGGAATAAAGTGAAGAAATAGTGAGCGAACAGATGAAATCAGGTATACCTTCTTGTTTCATGAACTGTTAACATGCAATTTAACTAAACAAGTGTTTTAGTTTGATTAGGGTAACAAAACTTTGTGTTCATTTATTTTCTTAACAAAAATATAATTTTAATAAATCTTGATTTTGTATATAAATAAGTATAGATATATTATTATGCTTAAGCCTATTATTAAATGTAGTTTGCGAATGACACATATAATGTAAATAATATTATATATTTGAATGAATAAAACCTAACTAACCTTGGGTGTATAAAAGTACATACATGGAGTAAATTATTAATTTATTTTATTATAATTTATTTTAAGAACACTATATTATTAGTTAATTGTTCCAGAAAATATCATGAATTAAATAAAAATGGATTAGACACTAATTATTCTGAACAAGGAGTTATAAGTATTTTGAATGTGAAATATAAATGTTTTCTCAATTTGAAAATTAAGAAAATATACAATCAGCATGTATTTGTTTAACGATAAGTAAATGAGATGGTTCAGTAGATATACATAAAAATAGCACATGCACATATTATGAGAAAGTTAACCAGTGATACTCTGAATATAAATTTATATACAATATACAAAACTTGTACTTTTATTATACACTAAATAATGTTTATACTATTTTATAATCTAAAGTCAATTTCAAACAGTGAATAAATATTTATTTTAATTTCTATTGTAACAAATCATATTAGTTAATACATAGTATAAAATTATAACGTATTCAATAAAAATATCAACCTTTTAAAGATTAATTAGATAGAAATGACTGTTTAAGAAAATACATATTTTATAACTATTATTTTCATAAAATAGATAAATATATAAAATCAGTAAAATATAAAAAGCACAATTTATTAATCGATAAACAAATAATTTGATAATTTAAATACTATTCATATTAAACATAAAACATAATTAGACTGAAAATAAAAACAAATTGTTTCATCTGTTTTAGATATAAAACGGTTAAAACGTAAACTATAATAATTTTACTATAACCGTTTAAGATGCAACAACCATTTCATTTTCCATAAAAACCCTAAATATGATAAAATGATCAATGAACAGGTAATAATTGATGAGTTTTCAATAATGATATATCAACATAATAACTTATGTTAGGTGTGATATTTTATCATGTATATAAGTTGTATAATATAGGACAGGTCCCTTCTCCTCATTTTCATGCGACAAGAGAGACTTAGAGTTTTGGAAAACCTTGTCGGAATAGCATTCACGATGCTATCTAATTTCAACCCGCATTTTCCTTTTAGCAGTTAAGTCCCAGGCCGTTTTCACGTAGAAATGGCAATAATAACAACAACAATAATAATAGGTGTAATAACAGTTGTGTTATAGACCACGCCGATAAAGTGACGCTACTTAAAAACTATGAATATAATTTAATAATATGTGTAATATGTATGACCTTTCAACGCCACCGGTTTTTCACCGACGATAACTATAGGTATTCGAAAACCATTCGTCTGTTCGCGCTTATTATCGTTATTGTATATATATATATAAATATACAGTTTATTATTGACGATTATGGTATATCGCGCCTAAAACACGACCGGTGAGAATCCTAAAGCTTTTATCAACAATGTACAACTTCACGACGACAAGTATATAATTATTATTATTGAACCTTATTAATATTACCATGATATACACGTAGTAGTATTTTTACGTGGCGGAACGCGATAATAAAAACACGCGTCGGACGTCTTCTACCTCTAATACATCGTCATACTTGCCTAGACGAAACGAGAAGAGGACGTGTGGATGTGAAGTGCATAGGTACAACCTAATCTATGCCGTGTTATTACATAATTTACGATATTCCGCCGACCACCGCCGTTATGAATCGTGTAAGACTGACAACGAATTCCGAACGAATTACATTACGTTAGGTACTCGTACATCCGGCGGCAGCCGTCGTATTCTGATGGTATTATTAATTGTACGGTTATATTATAATAATTAATAATATAATAGGACGTACTATGCACACTGAAAACAAACGTCGTGTACGCTACTTGCGTCTAGGTCGGAGGTATGGGAAAACACGACGAGGAAAATGTATGGTAAAACCGACACGGAACGTGTTTTCTTATTTATAGGTAATAATTAAAATGTTTGAAACTACAAATATCTTTTCTAGTCGATTTAGCCAATCAACATGTCGACTGTCATAATATGAGCATTTTATTAACAAATATAGAATGTAATTTTTATGACCGCCGACTTCCGAAATTATACATAATATTATATCACGTTCTAATACGAGTTGTGAACTTTGAGCTTGGATTACAATAACACGTTAACGGGAATACCTATACGGTTTAGGCATTATCATGGCACAGAGGGGAAAATAACTTTGAATAATGATGAGATCAATAAGATACCAAATTATCGAAGGCGATCATCATAATACGTAAAGCGTAAAAATATGACAGTAACGATAAAATGATAGCGATTTATGCATAAAGATCACTTGGGTAAATTTTTATTTTTAAAATGAATTAAGAGCTTATATTTAGAAAATTCTTTAATTTATGTATATAACTCTGACTCGATTCATAGAAATCCCATAAGGAGCATAAAAGAAGATGTTGTTGTCACCTGAATTCTTGTCCTTAAAATTAAAAATATATATTATACAATAAAATAAAAAATCAAATATTATGTATAACCACTGGGGTACTTTTTTTCTCGTGTAAGTCGTCTCATTGTATTTTAGCGTACATTCTCATTGTGAAATAAACTGTCACGGATCGCATATTATATTTATTAATGAAAAATAAATCATAATGTTTAAAAAGAATTATTACAAATATACACGAAAATCATAAAAATAAATTATTCAAAAAATATATTTATAACGTGTAATCATTTAAATTCATTTAAAACATTTTACGAGAAAAAACACATTCCTAGTTGTTTTTTACCCTTGTCGGTTTTTTTATTTTTTTTTTTTTTTACTGTCTGGGTCATAGACGCGATTAATTCGTTTCGAACGAAAACGAGACGTGTCGATCATTATTGTATTGTTATTATTATATTATTATTATTATTATTACTAAATTATGGTTTTCACCTTCGAACGCGTCGTCGCGTACAGGAACCTCGGGACCCGCGCGGCAGGCTTGGTGTTGTGCGCGCGTTAACGCGATTAAACGTAAAATCAAATCAAATCAAATCAAACAAAATAATCACGTTTGGTTAAGTATAAAACAAACACGCATTAAATCCATACAAGAGGCCGCGTCGCGGCAGGAAGAGCAGGAGTAGGTGTGTGGTGGCGGAATAGGTGGCGGTGGAGGTGTGCGCGTCGGCTATTAATGTATTATTATCGTGCCATAGCCATTCGTCGTCATCGTCGTATCGTTTGTGCGACCAACAGTGTAAAAAAAAAAAAAAATAAAAAAAAATATTACATAAACTATAATATTATATTACAGCCGCGCGAGAAGTACGTATAATATTAAAACGATAATATGATAATTTATTATTTTATATTACAATATTTGTTGTGACGCGATATTGTTATTTTGATCGTGTTGCGATCGCGGGCGCCGCGCTCCTATAATCTGACCGGGCAAAGGCCGAACGATAAGGTTTTCAGCGTGAAGTGTGCAGTACATGATATCACTCAGGTTCCCTACTCTCGGACTCGCGACGCATACGCACGCACACACCCGCACGCACGTACACACGTTCGACGGTTATAAGAGAGCGCGATCGCCACTCGCCGTCCGGGAAACTGTCACAGTCGGTCACGTGAAATCTTTCGGCCCGAACGTCTCTTACCCACCCGTCGCGTGCGCCCACTAATCTCGATCGTTCAACCGTCGCCGGAAAGGCCGTTCAATCCCGTCCCCGCGGCACAGAGCAAAAAAAATAAAGGCTTAAGAAACCATGTACGCCACCATGGCTGACGTCCGCGGTCTGACGACGATCGTCGTCGTATTGCTGATCGGCGCCGTCCAATCCATCAATCCACCGCGCACTGTTGGTGGTCACGGAAGGCAATCCGCCGGCAACGCGATAAAAGTCTCGGACACGAAAGGTACTGTGCACGACAGGTGTGAAATCGGTCTTGGTTCGTGTTTTTTTTTTTTTTTCATCTTCCGACGATCGACAGTTATAAAACGCTAACGGTCGATTTTCTGTACGAAAATCTATACTTGGTTTTTTTTTTTGTTTTTGTCGAGGGTTATGATATGTATTTTCGTGTGTATTATGTATAGTCGAGTAAGTACCTTATTTTGGAATGCTAAAATGTGTTAAATATAGGGAAAAAAAATTCTAGCTCCGTGACGGCGAATCGCGATGTTGCGATGTTTTTCACGATTCCGCCTCGGAAAATTTTATTGATGATATAATCCAATAATATTTGACATAATATAATAATATGTCAAAAACATTAGTGTCCATATCAAGAGATCAATAGTGTTTTTTTGCTTATAATTTTTAATCAACTTCTAGTATGTATTGTATTATTTTAATTAATAACTACGTTTTTTACATTATTTATCCGGATATTTCACCTAACCTAACCGTCGACTAAATTTTATATACTTATAATATGTAATATCTATGCAATTAATATCTCTTTTCATATATACAGGTAAATACATTATTATAGAATATTTATAGATGCTTGTTTGCTGTCTTATATCAAGTACTCTTTGAAACAGGATGGCAAACAGTATTTAAATATGACGTAAATATGATTTATTGAAATTTTATTAAAACGTTTATTGTTATTACTTATTTATCTAACTACAATACTCGATAGGCATTACTTAGCCTGGTACGACGGTGAATGACGGTGAATCGCGATGTTGCGATGTTTTTTACGATTCCGCCTCGGAAAATCACAATCGCGGTATAACGCGGCTAGATAGTATACCTAATATATTTGACGAAAGTTCGTTTGTGATAAACGATCTGATTTCAACGAGCATTTTTCCTTTTCGTAGCTATAGGTTCCAAGGTCGTTTTCGCAGTAAGAAACGGCAAAACTAAAAATGATAATAATAATCGTATTAGTTCAACACTATACACACCGTCCACAGATAACTTTTATAGATAGGTACTGTCTCTGTATTCTCTTAACACAAAGAATTTCAGTACTTAAACGGATTATACTCGTATAATCAGAAATGTACGCAATGGTCGCAATGTAATCTATACGAATATAGTTCACTATTTGTAATATTTACAACAAAAATAATCATAATTGCTTATTAAACTACGCGTTTTTGTCGAAGTTTTACAAAAGAATCAATATTTTTTTTTTTTGAATAAAAGTTTAAAATATTTTACGGGTAGCATACAGGTCGTTGATTGATTATGAAATTAATTCTGATATTTTGACATAGGCTGGTTATTACTGATTATTTTACTCGAAATATTATTAATTTTGAATTGCATGACTTAAATTAAATTTCGAGATGAATGTATTGGTGTTCAATATTTTTCTGAAAAATCTTTTTATGTCAAAAACAATTATTCAATCTAAAATATGTTTCTTGTGAAAAATCGCGTCTAATTTTTATTTAGAATTAAAAAGTAAAAAACATCAATGATCATTTTGATAAATCATGGAAATATTTACGCAAAAATTATTTTTGACAAAATCAATTTTGTTTGAGTTTTGTAATTTATAATCACAGACTTAAAATTCTCACCATATATTTGTATTAGTATTTTCTATACATGATATAATGTTCAAAATGTTTTTGCTTTTTCACACTTTTTTTCATTATGTTACGTTTTATATATCTAAAAAATATTGATACAGATTTGGATGTTCGGTCAAAAAACTAGAATTAAATTAATACAAGATTCCCCATAAATTATACTTATAGTAACTTAAAATATCGGAAACAAAATATATAGACATGATTTTTATTTCATCGACGGTTTATTATATCCAATCAAAAATAGTCACTGAAATCTATTGAAGTATACTATATTATACACTCGTGCAGATATTGGCTTGAGAAGCTCACAAAGAAATTTTAGAACACGATGCATTTTACATAGTACGACGAAGTTCGTTTTCCGGTTTAGCAAGCTCTTGGTTTAATAGCACGAAATAATATTTATAATTACTACTTACTGCTAGACATTAGTCAATAAACTTTCAGTATATTTTAGTCAATATATTTTATAAGGAACTCGTTCTAGCCGTTATAAGTATGACGTAATGGATATCATAACTGAAACACAATATTTTAATAGCTATTAGTTATGACCATGAAAATTGAATAATAACTTATTTCCTTACTTATAGTTTTATTTTTCCTAAAAAGTTTTTAATTAATAATATTTAGTTATGAAGTACCAGTTATTAAATAAATTTATAAAAATAATAATTCATAAAAACAAATGAGAGTGTAGATTACATCATTCGTATAAAAAACTAACATGTAGTAGTGGTGTGTGTGTGTGATGGGAGTTATAAGTGTTAGTTTTTTAGATTTTGAACGGAGCTTGAATGATGGAACATTAAATACGTGTGTTGCATATACATTAAGTTGTCTAAAATATGTTTCGATTTCCAACATTGAGGGTGGTTTCTGATAGAAAATTGGATCTAGTTTGTACTTAACTTTTTCTTAAAGAATTTTTGTCCTAAACAATTAATCTTAAATGTTATAATTGAACTGAAATCAGTAAATTTGAAGAATCGTGTAACATATTTTTACTATGTAGTATTAAATCACTTAGATATTGCCAATCGCCTGCACTGCGTTACTTCCATACCCACTCAGGCCTCTTGATTTTTTCTCTCAATAAATTTAATTATTATACACATTGCAAATTTTAAACAAATTGTAAATTTTTATATTTTAAATTGTTCTAGTCGGACGGTATTAATATATAATTAAAAATTTAAAAAAAAAGAATAATATTGGAATTGTAAAATAGATTTGTGATGTGGAAGTGAGGAACAAGACACTCACGAATCAACTTGCTATAATTTTATCAAAATACTTTTATAAATACTTAAATTTAAAAAAAAAATAATTTATATATATATATATATAAATTACAGGATTTCTGCTTGTGTAAAAATATTAAGTTCGTGAGTGTTTTCTGATAAAAATCACGATTAAAAAAATTGAAAATTTTCAAATGATTATATAAAATTCAAAAAATGTCAAAACATTTTGAAAATGATAAAAAATAAAGAAAATGCTAATTTAAACATTTGGTAAAATGTAAAATTTCTTCGATTTTTCGTTTTTAAGTTACACCCAAAAATAATTCATCGAATTTTACTAAAACTCTGGTATATCTTTTATTGTTTTTATTTATTCTGGTTATTTTGAAAAATACAAGCAACTTTTAATTTTAACTTCTCATGTATCGATTAGATTTTATTTTCTATCAAACACCATCTTCAAAGTTGAAGATCGAAACATTTTTTGTTCAATATTTTTTTTTTTTTTGTTATAAAGTGTTTCTGACATACAAGGTCATCAACTTATTGATATAATAGAAATTTGAACATGATTAGTTGTTAAGCGTAAATTAATTACAATATATACAATAAATTACAGTAATTTACATAGATGAATAAATAAATACAATTTTTCTACTATAATATATTATAACGTATACGCGCAATAAAATAACACACATCATTGTAAAATAAATACATCGCCTCACTCAGAATCTAATATAATATTTTAGGTACCGGACATTTCACGACTGAAATAAAGTTTACTACTGTTTACTAGGTAAACAATTTACTATATATTCTTAGAGCTCTTTAATTTCCACGAAATCAACGACCATTTACAACAATGGGCAACGATATCTAATATCAAAACGAAACAAATAAATAATATAATATAATATTTAGTAGTCACAACTAGCGTAATAAATAACACGGAGGTATTATAAATAATATAATGTAATTTTACTCGTTAGTCATTTAATTTCGGTGTGTCATCGATATCAATGATATCATATTGCTATTTACTTATTAAATATTTTATTTGTTATTAGATAGAGTACACGATTATGACCGTTAAGACTTCATGAGTAATGTTATTCGTAAACTAATATTAATTTTATATCAGCTATAAATACACAATAATTACCTAATAACGTAAAATACATTTTGTACAACGCAAAAATGACGTAGAAACGTGTTTTTTTATTATTATTATTTTTATTGTTAATCGTTAGAAGTTTCATCATCGACTATGGTCAGCGATGTTGTGAATATTTCATGGTAATAGAAAATCTTTGCTCGGAAACGATCGCGCGTGTTCTTTTGTCGTAATCGTAAAGTTTAGGCACGTAAAGCATAATATCATAATATTATAGGTGTCATACAAGTCAATATAATTAGTGTATTTACTAAACTGCTGGAAAATGAATAGTAAATCTTAAAAAAATAGGCCAACCTGCATTAACTTAATGCACAACATACCAAAATCATCATTGTGATGCTGATGTAGTATAATATACTTTTGTTTTTTCTGTATATTTTGTATTCACAATTTTAATGCTTTTTATTTTTATGATAAAACATCAGCTTGTTGGAATATTGGTACGGTTCATTGAATATATAACAAGAGAAATAAAAGAACGCGGAATTCTGGTACTCTTTAACATTTAATTTCCAGGGGTCTTAAAATCGTCATTAACTAAATAAATTTAAATATGTTTAAAAATAAAAATAATAATAATAGCAATCAAATCTTAAGCCACAGCTACAGAAACCAACTTAATAGCTGTAGTATAGCCTAGATCTAGAATAAAGCCATTTATTATTCTTTAATTAATAAGAAATTAATCTGCACGAAATACTTGTGAGATGAATTTACACTATACTTTTTAAGTTTTTAAGTCAGCGGCGTAACATTTACTGGTAGAAAGCATTATATTAGAATATTTAATACAATTAGACCTCACGGCTCACACTATTAAAGTCATGGTAATATTATTATTATACATTTTATGTATTTATAATATTTATTGTATTATATATTTGTATCTCTAATACCTTCTTATGTATGATTATAAGGATAATATTACGAT